TGAACAAAAACAAATATCAAATCAAATATAAATTAATTGCACACTCTTTACCAACAATTAGCACTATGTGATTTTTGAAACACTTCAACCGGACATCTCACATGTAAAATTAAATGATTAAGGAAGTGGTGGAGCTATTACTTGCTCAAGACAAAACCGCCATAAAAATTATTCACTTTCATTAATTTCTATTTCAAGATGATTTAATCTTTGTCAATTGTATTTAACTATTTGCTTTTTTGGTATTGAATGACCTAATATGAATTATTTTGTAAAAAATTATCAAGTGAAGTAAGTTTAATTATTTTTTGTAAAATTCTTTCAAAGTGTGACAAAATTCATTAGAACCAATTTTAAATGTATTCATGCCAAAGTTACATTTATTTATGAAAATTTATGTTGTCAATGCTAAAAATAGAATCATTATAAATTGTATAGATGCTACATAACAAGTTTGTTATTATAAGAATTAAAAATTTCTTAAGAAAAAAACATAACAAGTATCAAGGTTAGGAATTTATTTCATTCTATTTTTTAAAATTATGTATTTTAAATTTTAAAGTGGTAGAATGTACAATTACATTCAATGGATATAACTACCAACGGAAATTTATCTTAAGGAAAAAAAATGAGACAAAAAATTAATTGACTATGAATAGTTCTATTTTCTCCACATGACAAGCAAAGTTAGTGTTATATGATATTTCAATTAAGAATATACAAATATATTGATTTCAAATTTTTTTTAGGATTAATTTGAAACTTTTTTATTGAAAAGATATTGTATACTCATTTATTTTCTTCATTATATTAGTTGAAAAATTAAGGTTACCATATTAGATGATATTTGTTTAAAAGAATTAAAATTCATTAAATTAATTATCACTATTGCATTTAATATAAAATTATTATTATAAATTATAATTTAACTAAACTTAAAAGTTAAAAGTTTTCATTAAAGAAATTCATTTGATAAATTGTTATTTAATTGTGTATCTAGTATTTAAATTATTTTAAATTTTGACTTTTCATAATCTTGAGTAGAATTTTAAACTTAAGATCAACGATAAATTATGTTGAATTAAATTTTATCATCTACTTATATTATTGTATACTCAATTATTTACATATGCATATCAACAAATTTAACTAAATAATCGGTGCATATTTTCTTTTGTTTTAAAAATTGGATTCAAAATCATATTAAATCTAAATAAA